AGACTCAAGTCTCACTATGTTCCCCTCGGTAGTATGTTGTGGCGTCACAGCTCACAGCAACCTCAAACTCTTGGGCTTAAGCAATTCTCCTGCCTCAGCCTCCCAAGTAGCCAGGACTACCAGCATCTGCCACAACGCCCAGACATTTTTTGGGTGTAGTTGTCATTGTTTGGGAGGTCCGGGCTGGATTCCAACCCACCAGCTCTGGTGTATGGGGCTGGCACCCCAGCCGCTAAGCTACAGGCACCAAGCCACCTCTGCCTAGTTTTAAGGGGTCTCACTCTTGGTCAGGTTGGCTTGGAACTCCTAAGCTCAAACAGTCCACCTGCCTTGGCCTCGCAGAGTGGTAGGATTACAGGTGTGAGCCTGACCTTAGTTTTTCTTTTCTTTGTTAAGACAGTCTCACTATGTTGCCCTCAGTAGAGTGCCCTGGATTCACACCTCATAGCAACCTCAAACTCTTGGGCTCATGGGATTCTCTTGCCTCAGCCTCCCATGTAGTTGGGATTACAGGCACCCACCACATGCTGGGTTATTGGGGTTTTTTTTGTTTGTTTGTTTTTTGAGACAGAGCCTCAAGCTATCCCCCTGGGTAGAGTGCCATGGCATCACGCTCACAGCAACCTCCAACTCCTGGGCTTAGGAGATTCTCTGGCCTCAGCCTCCCAAGTAGCTAGCTCCACAGGCACCTGCCAGAACACCTGGCTATTTTTTTGCTGCAGTTTGGCTGAGGCCAGGTTCAAACCCTCCACCTTTGGTATATGGGGCCGGCACCTTACCCACTGAGCCACAGGTGCCACCTAGTCTGTGGGCATTTATTAATTTATTGTATGTTATTATTTATTTTTCTGTTTTTGAGACTTAGTCTTACTATGTGGCCCTGCCATGGCGTCACACCTCACATCAACCTCAAACTCTTGGGCTTAAGTGATTCTCTTGCCCCAGCCACCCAAGTAGCTGGGACTATAGGCCCCCACCACAATGCCCAGCTAATTTTGTTGTTGTTGTTGTTGTCATCATTATTTAGCAGGCCTGGGCCGGGTTAATACCCGCCTGCCCCCACTGTATGTGTCTGGAGCCCTAACCACTGACCTATGGGCACCAAGCCTTAATTAATAGAGACAAAGACACTCTGTTGCCTGGAGTAGGGTGCCATGGCTTCAGCCTGGCTCACAGCAAGCTCAAACTCTTGGGCTGAAGCAATCTTCTCGCCTGAGCCTTTAGGAGAGCTGGGACTACAGGTCCAAGCCATAATGCCAGGCTTTTTCTATTTTTACTTTATTTATTTATTTATTTACTTTTGAGGCAGAGTTCCCCCTTGTCACCCTCAGTAGGTGCTATGGCATCATAGCTCACAGCAACCTCAAATTATTGGGCTCAATGATCCTGTTGCCTCAGCCTCTGAGTAGCTGGGACTATAGGTGCCCCTCACAAC